ATTTAATAAGGAGAAATGTAAGTTCGAGAGAGGAGTTCGAGAAATTGTTTATTTGGGTCACAAATTCGATAAGAATGGGATGAAACCAGACGAGTCTAAAGTTAAAGCTATTATGGGTATGCCGTATCCTACAGATCGTAAAGCATTGGAGAGATTTATGGGTATGGTGAATTATCTTTCCAAATTTATTCAAAACTATTCGGATAGTGTGTCTATGCTTCGAAGTTTATTAAAAAAGAATTCTGAATGGCTGTGGGAGCCACATCATTAAGATGCTATAGACAATCTTAAAAATAAAATTTCATCTGCACCAGTGTTAGCACTTTACTCGACGGAGCTACCGGTGGTGGTTTCGGTAGACGCGAGTGCTAGATCGCTGGGAGCGTGCTGCTATAGGTCGGCCGTCCAGTGGAGTTTGCTTCGTTAACGCTCACTGACACTCAGACTCGGTACGCACAAATTGATAAAAGAGATGCTGGGAATAGTGTTTGCGGCAGAAAGGTTTAAACAGTACATTTATGGCAGGTCAGATGTTACCGTACAAACTGATCACAAGCCCTTGGAGGCATTGTTCAATAAAGCGTTGTCTTCTGTACCGATACGACTACAACGCATGATGATGAGGATACAGGGATACGATTTCAAGGTGGTGTATACTCCGGGCAAGTATATGTATATTGCCGATACGTTATCGAGGGCTCCTCTGTCGGAGTTTATGCACGATCGAGTGTCTGAGGATGTTGAGACGCAAACATGTTTTATGATTTAATGTATGCCGTTTAGTAGAGAAAAAATAGATAGAGTTCGAAAGGCGACAGAGGTTGATGAGGAATTTCAGTTATTAATTAAGTACATATTAAACGGCTGGCCAAAAAATGAGCATGATGTTCATAAAAACGTTAGAAAGTTTTGGTCATATCGTGGAGAACTCCAATATGTGAATGGGTTAATATTAAAAAATTATTGTATATTTATTCCGCAAAGTTTACGAGCCGAAATGATTGTAAAAGTACACGAAGGTCACTTAGGCATTGAGAGGTGTAAGAGGCGCGCGCGTGATGTAATCTTCTGGCCAGGGCTGTCAGCGGAGTCGTGTACTCTGCATGCACCGGCTCCCGCGCGGGAACCACTACTTCAACATATTTTTGAGTATAAAAAGAAATATTATGTCATATTAGTAGACTATTTTTCTAATTGTGTTGAAGTTCAAGAAGTATTAACAGTAGAACAATTATTCACTTTATGAAGGAGAAATTTTCGAGGCGTGGCATCCCTAGCGAGCTTGTTACTGATAATGGGCCGGCGTATAGTTCGCAAGAATTTAAAAAATTTCTTAGGGTATGGGAGGTTAAGCATATGACTTCATCACCTCATTACCCTCAGTCAAATGGAAAAAGTGAGCGCACAGTGCAAACTATAAAAAAATCTACTCAAAATATGCGTCGATTCTGGGGATGATTTTTTTATAAGTTTATTGAACTATAGGAGTACGCCTAGGTATGGAATGGATTCTCCGGCACAAATTCTGATGGGAAGACGTTTATGTACGAAGCTACCGATTAGTGATTTTCCTATTAAATGAAACAATTGATAGAAATAGAAATTACAAAACGTTAATGCAACAGAGAAAATATAATAAATTAAAGTATGATAGGTCGGCCAAGTCATTGCGGACTTTATTACCAGGAAATAAAGCAATTTTAATTGATAACGGAATTAGGAAACCCGTTTCTATTATTAGACCTTCGGAGGAACCACGTTCGTTCATAGTACAGGATACGCGCGGACAGCGATTGAGGCGCAATCGCCGTCAATTGATAGTACGATATGCAGACAGCGATGAAATGCGTCCCGCCGCCTGCGCTGCGAGTGCAAGTAACGCTAAGTCAGCTGAGTTAATGGCCAAGGCTGTAGCTTCAAACCCAGAACAGTTTGGCCCTTTTTATTTGACAGATAGTAAAACGGATACGGAAGGTCATAGCCCATGCATTAATCCTCCAATAATTAGGTCAAAAGCACGACTCATGGCTAAGATGAAATATCCGATGAAAGAAAAAATATAATAGTTGTTTTGTATAGAAGTTATTTACAAACTAATATACTTATTTATATTAAGTGTATATTTTTAAGTCTCTGTATTCTGCAGATATTGACTTATTTTCGTTTATTTTTAGGTTTACTATTATTTTGTAATTTCAATTTAACACTGTTCGATACTTGTGAAGCAAAACAAATCATAAAACATAGAAGTGATTTATATTATAACATAATATATAGAAATATGTTCGTGTTACGCCTAGGTGGCTTCGTTATTATGATATTTATATTAATTTTGTATGAGTTTGTATTTGGTATACGGTCCATTTCTACAGTTAGCGTTATCTTTCATTTGTTTTTATTATATAGTTTTTTAAGCTATTGCATAGCTTCTATCGCGGGCCTTGAGCGCGGGGACCGAATCCGGAAATTCCGTAACGAAAAAAACCTCACGCTCCCCACTCCGACGGGCACGGAGGTGTGGCGTTGAAAGCCGTGCATCGTCTAACGTCGTTTCAGTTCGGCAGACTTCGGCACTCGGCAGAGTTCGGCACGGTGTTCGTGTGCGTGTACACTAGCTGCTAACTCAATGATAAAAATTCCTGAATAACCTTCATATATTGTAAGATATTAAAAATATTTTAAACAATATTAACTTCTCATTTATTCAATAAGAGGAAAAAAAAATAGTTTTCTTATCGGTCACCACGCTCAAAAAGTGTAACTTGATTTAATATCAAAGACTTAACTGCATAAATAAAATAAATAAATAATTATAATTGCATAAGTTGATAAAAAAATGCTATGCAATAGCTTTACCGCTGCAGTCACTGAGTGCCACACGTATTTTTTTGTTATAAATCATTTTTGTACCTACTTCAGTTCATTATAAAAGGGGAAGGATGTAGTATATTGTGGGTATATTGATATTTTGTGTGGATACTGTACCTTAATAAATAATAATAAATCAGTGTTGAACCAGCTAGCGTTTATTTTATTACAAGTAGTAAATGAAAAGAAAGAGACAAGAAGGTTTAATGTGAATGACAGGATGAGAAATTGTATGTTTCGAGAAAAGTGTGGTTTGTAAGATGATGTTGTGATCAGGATTAAGGAAGGAACTTTAGTTAAGTGTGGAAAGAGGAAAGAGCAAATCTATGTCACAGAAGTGAACGGCAGAGTCGGGAAGGGACGCTCTAGACTAAAGTTTATCGCAAAATTGGCGATTTGTAGAAAATGGGCCAGATTAAGAGTTCCCTTCCAACGAGTTCCAACGAGTATGTATGAGTAGGTAAATGGATGTAAAAGAGGCGAGAGATATGTGTCAGGATCGTGCTAAATGGGTGTGTAACAGGCGTGATTGTTTTTGTATGTAAGATGGTTTACCGTGTAGTGGCAGTGTAAGAATATCCACCCCCATATCATCCCGTGGGTGACGTAAGAGGGAGAGGAACAACTCTGGAAAGGAGTAGGCTTTAAAGACCGATTTACACTTCGACAAGTACAGTAGCGAGTTAGCTTGCGAACCTGGCGAGTTAAGTTTGAACCTCGTTTGAACGGCAAAAAGCAAGTTGAGTAGCAAGTTAACGATTAAGTTGAACGGGATAGCCGGCCGAGCTATTTTTCGGCGAGTTAAGTGCGAAGTGCTGCCCTCCCGCGCGTCTCCCGCCACTCGCAACTAAACTCGCCGTTCGTGTAAACGAGCGAGTTTAGTTCAGTGCATAAGTTGACAGGACGCAACGTTTGCGCGCCAAAACGTACAATTGTACTTTTATAATGAAACTCACCACAAAGTTTGTACGATACTGTTTATTGAATATTTATACGTTTTATATTGAGTTTTAATAATAAAATGGACGGAAGATATCACGAATAAATTCGTAGAGTATTTAGAACACGAATGTTTATGTATGTATGTAGAAGTTCAAATTGTAAAATTAAATCTGCTCGAGATGCTGCACTCATGAAAATTCTTAAAAACTTCTTTAATAATAACCATTAATACTTCTCTGACCAGATCATTTAATTCTTGACGTAATCCTAGAACCATCTTAAACGAAAACCGGAAAAATTCTGTAGTCTTGAAACGTCATACTCCAACGAAATCTATGAACTAATGTGCTTACTTAACTGCCCACTTAACCGTTTACTATCAACTGCCCTGTAACTAAACTCGCTACTGTACTTGTCGAAGTGTAAATCGGTCTTAATAGGCTGTAACGGTAAGTAAAATGGTAAGAGATGTAGGAAGTCGATCGCTGTAGATGGCGCTGGACCGTGCTTTGGCGTACCTTGGGTGAGACCTATGTTGACTTGTGATCCGATATAATGACGATGGTGATTAATATCCATACAATTGTTAGTAATAGGATTATAATCTGTAGTTGTGTAATTTTTTATTAACTTTGACATCATAATACAACAATAAAATTAATAATATATAAATATATATCTTAACATTCAGCTAGCGGATCAATCTTCGCACAACAATCTTTCAGATAATTTGTCGACTGCAATCCCACCTGGTAGCTCAGACTTTGAGCCGTGGTAGTTCAGATAGTTAGTGCTCGCTGTAAATTTCACATTACGCGAGCAAACCGGGTGCAATCCCCGCCGCCGGCACCAATGAAATTATTAATTGAAATTTTAAGTGCTGATTTACCACGTGCTCGCCGGTGAAGGAAGACATCGTGAGGAAACCTGCATATCTGAGAAATAAGAAAAAAAGACTATTTCAAGATATGTGTAATTTGCCAACTCGCATTGGGGAAGCGCGGCGGACACTTCCTTTCCCTAAAACCCTCTCAGAAATGGGAGGAGGCTTGTGCTCAGCATTGAGACGTATATAGGCTGTAACTTTAACTTTTAACTAACTTTGATCCCACCTGTTGGTAAGTGGTGATGGCCTACGTGGTAAATCGCACTGTTTTAGCGAAGTTGATAGTCGCGAAGACAAGACAAACCTGTTTCGACTCCTGGTATACTGACACATCCACCATCAGCTCCAAACCTCCACTGGTGGAACGGGCACTCGATGCAGTTCCCGCAGACTGTGCCCCCAATTGCCAAGTTAGCACCCAAGTGGGGACAGTAAGCGTCCACGCAACGGGCAACGCTATCCTCTCCTCTGTAGACACAGAGGTTCACACCTAAAAAGAACAGATGATAAACGTTTGATTAATAATAGTAATAATCTGACGTAGAAAATGAAACTTTATTTATTTAAGGCCAGGTTTGACAAAAATATCGTATTTTAGCTTTGACTAGAGAAAAAAGAAAGGACATGACATACCTACGAAAAAAACGTGTATACCTAAACTGAATCTGGCACAAAGATGGCGGTTTGACGTAGTGCTGCGCACTATACTTAATATCGATAATGTGGCGCTTATTTAGAAAAAGATTCTTTCGTGTGATTCGTCTCAAACACCCGTGTGTTCTTAGATAGTTTTTTTTAAATCAATATAACGGATTTTTGGCGCAAAATTGTAAGTCCATAATTTTTTTTTACTCAAACTATCGATAGGGGCATCAAAATAAATGAAATTAAAAGGAGATTACTGAAACCTAATCTTATAACAATATTATAAGTTACACCTATGTTTTCAGTTCATTACTTTAAAGAAGTCGTTTTTGTTTTGTTTTTATAATGTAACTATCTATAATTAATGTTACCACTATTTCCCGGGAATTTCTTAACAAGAAATACTAATTAAAGAATTTTTGATTGTTTGTTAGACAATAAATTAGGCTCAGTCATCATACTCACACTAATCAAACTATAATAATTGCAAAAGTTTGAATCTTTGTTCCTCAATCATGCCAAAAGTATCAGACAGTTTCAATGTAATACTTTGGCACACAAATAGTTTTTTATTACCTGAATTATCATACAGGATACTTTTTATCCCGATTTAGAGGTCCCGAGGTATAGAATAAGAAATTCCGTAATAATCGAATTCCATGAGAAAAACATATGAAAATAACACACTCACCTCACTAAAGTCGCATAGACAACTGATATAGTTGTCATTGACTGTGATAAAATATGGCGCCCGGCCGCAGCGAAAAAATTCTTGCCATATTCAGTAATGATAAAACTACTGTTGTCCTTTTTTACATACGAATATACTCATAAGCTAAAAAGAGACGCCGATATTTCGTCACATTCCTACAACTAACGATCTTTATGTCATGTCCTTTCTTTTTTTTTCTAGTCAAAGTATTTTAGGCACAATTTTAACGATCTAGAGTTGATACTTCTTAGGATCGACCCACACGTACCGCAACCACACCATATCGCAGCGACAAAATGTGGTCACGTGTGAATAGTGTCGCTGCAGCTTTTTGCAGTTGCGTTGAGGCTAGTAGCGGCGGGTGGTTACGTGTGGTTCCGTAATGGTTGCGTCGTAGTCACTCACGCAGTCGATAATGATGGCAAAATGTAAATTATACCATTAATTTCCAATAGAAAATGCGCTCGCCCACGTGTTGTGGTAGTGGTTGTGGTACGCGTGGGTAGTCCCTTAAGAACTGTCTGCATTGCAGTCCCACGATGGACTTAGAGTCAGAAAATTTGATCGCGCTACTAATACGCATTACGCAAACGACGTAGAAGATGATGTAGTCTGTATTGGATATACATAACTGGTAAAACATTGCATCAGCCATAGAATACTATAATACAAAATAGAATGGCTGTCAACCTTATTTTGTACGAGGATCGGCGTCGCCAGGAGCACACATACAAGCAATTACGTCGTATTATCACTACTACAAAATCGATTCGCTGTGTTGACAGACTGAGCGAATTTACACATTTTAAACTTTGCTTAATTTTTTTTTATAGAAGAGGGGGCAAACGAACACGCGATTCACCTGATGTTAAGTGACCACCGCTGTCCATGAACATCCGCAACACCAGGGGAATTGCAGATGCGTTGCTAAAAAAATTAATTTTGACACATCAATATTTCTTTATTTTTGTTTTTAATATTCACAAAATATAAATAGTTTCGACTCACTGGTTATGGAATATGTCTCCTTTACTTAAATTTCATTTCCCGCTATTCTTTCGACACGTAATTATTGCACAATTTGCCATTTTTTCTCCCATCAGAAACGAGGGGAGGCCCGTGCCCAGCAGTGGGACGTATATAGGCTGTAACTTTAACTTAACTTTTAACTTTTGCCATTTTTTAAATAAATAGCATGCGGCGACGCTTGACACGAAAATTGGAATTAAAATTGATTGAAGAATTGGAAACCATTGATTGTGTTGACATTTAAAGGTGTGAATTGACATATTAGTGACATGTTAGTGGCTACGCGGGCTCCACCCTACCCCGTTCTATTATGTATGTATTAAGTATTCTATGGCATCAGCTATGATACGTTTTATGCGCCCCTAGTGCCGCCGACTCTGATATAGAGAGAATTCATGCAAGACGAAAAAGCATGTGTAATGCTTGTCGCTGGCCACCTATGGTTGTTGCCTACTCCCGATAGAATCGAATTTTATTCGAAACTAGTGACCCCCATCACTGCTCGGGTGATTTCAAACACATGCAAAAACTTGCATCTAAGTCGGTCCTGCTGTTCTTAAGTAATGACTTTTCATACATGCGTCGATCTTTGAGTGTTAATTTTGCATTTGTAGTGAATTATAAAGTAGTGTGTTTTCTTCGATTCCCCCTGAAAGTGACAGACTTTTTGTTTAGGAATTAACGCGCATGGCCTCTCCAGTCGGTTGAATACTCAAAGGCGGCGATTGATTTTTTTATGTTTTATATTTATTATTTATTGTACAAACACACTATTACATACAAAAATATAAGAAAAACAAAAAAAAACATGTAAAGTGCTACTTCTTATAGGCGCAAACAGCATTCTTTGAAAGTCTCGTACATTAACTTATGTTGTGAAGAAATTTAGATTATTAGTATTAACATGTATGCATTATTATAAGAAGTTATATACTTAGTACTATTAACAACAACAATAATAAAATTTTATCAATGCATTACACTTAACTATGTCAAGAGAAATATATCATTTAAAAACTAGGAGATAAAAACATCATTTAAATTTTAAACAAATCGAAAAAATTTATATTATAAGTCAAAATTAAAAATTGAGAAAAAAAATAAAAATAACGCTCACACATATTCAAATTAAAATTACCTATCGTACATAATATTCGAATTATTCTGTTATTACTTGAGCTGCAAAATTTTTAGATTGTTATATGGAGTTTGAGAAAATATCTAGCTGAGACGATCCTTTTTCTGTTTCACTGGATATATAGAGTTGTGAATGAGAATCTTTCTGAATAAGTTTCCATTTATCCTGAGGATTATCCTTATAGCTGGTTTTTATCATACTCATTCGATTGGAGTTTAAAAGGCGTTTAAAATATATATCATTTTCATCTCATTCATCATTTTAAAATATATAAAAATTTCATTTTATTTTGATGAGAAAATAATAACGCTTCTGAGGCGTACACTTTTAGATTTTTCAAACTATTTATATATATACCTATAGCAAAGGGAATTCGTATTTCTGAAACCGTATCTAGCGCACAATCGGTTGTAGTTATCAAAATAGAAGTCTTCGTCTGTCCACCGCTAGATGGCGCTTGTTCGTGATGTGTTGATTTTCATGTAGTGAATTTTTCATTTATTAAAAATTCCACTGATAAAAAATAAATGAATGGCGCTGACGGTTATTGATCGTAACTCGATCGTATTTTTCGATTCGTAAGCTTCTAAAATTAGGTTCGTAACAATTTGAGAAAGTAAGAATCGAAAACCGAATAGAATTTGAAAATAATTTCTTATATAATAATTGAATTATATATAATACTTGAGGGTAATATGGTCACTTTCTTATAACTCAAAAACTACAGCCTTCTTTGCATAGATGGCTTTGTGATACGATAGCTCTTCATCGGTCAATTAAATAATAAACGGTAAAAAGGTCGACGCTTTATTGACAGCATTTTAACAGTTGATATTATAAATATTTTAGTGGATTTTAGTATGATGTAGTAATTGACTTATATATTACTAGCGTAAGGACCGGGCCGACCGAACAACTAAAACGGACCAGTGCGCTGGCCCTAAAATTACAGTTTAGGGCCAACGCGTATCAGTCGACAGTGGTGCGCGCGCATGACGGATTTGCCTGTCATAAATATGTCTAGTTGAGTGGTAAAAGAATGCAAAAATTACGATAAAAAGATTAAATTATTATATAAACGCATTTTTTAAGTTTTATTTTACAGTTAGTTTAGTTACGTTACCAAGATTAGGCCAGGATTGGATTCAGACCCTTAAAAATATTTTACATGGAAAATAAAATTATACTATTTTTAAAAAAATATATCAAGTTTGACTTTTCATGTTTCTTTTCTCCCATGTGCCGGGATTTTGGCGTCACGCGTCTAGTTTATCGTTTCGTTTTTTGATGGTTTCATTTTTATTTCTGTTAAATTTTTGTTTAAAAAAAAACCAAAAGAGTACAAAAGAAACCATATCTGCTTAATTTAGTCTAAAAATCTGATTCATAAAATATTTTGAAATTCTGTTTTCAAACCGATTGTTTTTTTTTTGGAGTATAGAGTTTTTATCGTGGTAGCCCCTCATTATAGTTGTATCAAGAATGCAACATAAATGCTTTGATCGAGCATCGATCGAACAGAAAGGGAGCTAATTCTAATTTTATTAAAAACGCGGTACTTATGTACAATACAGAAATTCTCGATATCATAGGGTTACTAAAATGTAAAAGGACATAATAATAAGACAAGTCGACCTTTAGGTAAAATTATGGTATTTTCGCTTAGTATTATTACGATACTATTTACTACAAACTATTAAAAAGTACAATTAGGATTACTATGACATCCGACCCTGGTTACGTCACTTTTTGATATGACGTTCATATTATGACGGATGCGCTACTTTTTCTTGTATGAAAAAGTTATGAGTTAAATATTTAGATGGGCCTATCCTTCCTTTTGAAATCGTTGGATGTAGTGTAGTTTTTTAAGTAGATTTTTCGAAGTGTTCCTAATTATTGCCAGGGCTTGTTTGCTAGTTTTTCTTTCTTAATACATATATTAGTTAGATATACAGTATTCGAGTTTGTATCGGTCCTTCTCCTAGTTTTGATTTTATAGGGCGGCAAATTTATGCTCCTGTGTTATTATTTGAATAAAAATTTTAAAACTTTTGTGTGTCTGTTCGCCGGTCTGTCCGTTCGTTTGTTCCGGCTGATCTCCGAAATCTCGGGCCGATTTCGATGGGACTTTCACTGGCAGATAGCTTATATTTTACGAATAGTACGAGGTTTGGTAATTTAAAACAACACTAAACATTTATAATTTAACGTCACTTGTGAAATCAATATTCAAAGTACAAACAATCCCGTTCAAGTATTTATTTGCTTCTGTGTTAAATAAGGTCATAATATAAATTACAAATGGTAATTAATAATTATCTCTTAATAATAACACTTTTAAAGTCGTCGCAAAAAAACTCATTAATGGGTTATAAACCAACTAATAAACAAAAATAGTACATATAAAAACATTTTAAGTAAAGATATTAAACGAGGTTAGGTAAAAAAATACGTTATTTCTTATACGATTCGAACATAATACGTACTAGACTGCACTAAAAGTATCGGGTATGGAATATTTTTACACTGTTCCTGTCATTTTAAAATCTTTTTTATTGAAAACTCCTTGGTTTTAAAAATCGAATACCATTTATTTATTTAAAAAAAGATTCTCGGTCTTGTCACAAGGTTTTGTCAAACTTGTTTAAACGTTGAGAAAATAGAATTTACTCGAGAAAATTCAAGAGCGATGATTTATTATGACTTTCGAAGTAGTTTAACACAAAAACAATGTGTTGACCGGATGATTTCTGCATTTGGTGATGAAGCCCCATCCAAAACCACAATTTATCGCTGGTTTGCTGAATTTCAACGTGGACGTGTCAAGCTCATTGATGATCCCCGTCAAGGTAGTCCAAAAACTGCAGTCACCCAAGAAAACGCTGATGCTGTGCGTAAGCTGATTGAGGAAGATCGACATGTGACATACTGCGAAATTCAAGCAACTTTAGACATTGGCATGAGTTAAATACAAATAATCTTGCATGAACAATTAGGTGTAAAAAAATTGTTTTCCCGATGGATACCGCATTCGCTCTGTAAAGAGCAAAAAGCGGCTCGCGTTACTTGATGCGTCAGAACTCTCGAAAGATTCTACGCAGGATCCTCAAATGCTGTATACAACATCGTATCAGATGTCGAATCCTGGATATACGCGTACGAACCCGAAAAAAAAAACCCATCACGAGTTTGGGTGTTCGAAAATGAGTTAAAGCCAACAAAAATTGTTCGTTCACGGAGTGTTGCAAAAAAAATGGTGGCCACGTTTGTCTCCAAAACCGGCCATGTTACGACTATTATTAACAAAGAACGGTTAATGCAGAATGGTATGCTAGCATTTGTTTGCCACAGGTCGTTTCTGAACTCCGTAAGAGACTGCAACCGCCGCATCATCCTCCATCACGACAACGCGAGTTCTCACACCGCACACAGAACAAAAGAGTTTTTAGAGCAAGAAAACATAGAATTATTAGACCATCCGCCGTACAGCCCCGACCTAAGCCCTAATGATTTCTATACTTTCCCTAAAATAAAGAATAAATTGCGTGGACGGAGATTTTCATCACCTGAAGAAGCTGTGGACGCCTACAAACGGCCATTTTGGAGACCCAAACTTCCGAATGGAATGGTTGCTTCAATGATTGGTTCCATCGCATGGAAAAATGTGTCAAATTTCATGGAGAATACTTCGAAAAGCAATAAATACATTTTTAAATAGTAATGTTGTGTCACTTCCTTGATTCCCGAAATTTTCAGTGCCGCCCTACATAAACTTTCACGCCTGTCACTTAGAGGTATAAGCAGAGAATACGGAATTGCATTTGGCACGATCCTGACACACTTCTCTCGCATCCTTTACATATATATATCTACGCATACATGCTCGTCGGTTAAGGGTACTCCTGCTACTTCATCTGGCCTATCTTCCATATATCGCCAAATTGGTCGATAAATTTTCGAACGATTCAAACCATTAATTTTTTATATGCTGTGACCCATAAATATCTACATTTATCCTCCATTAAGAATCGAAATGCAAATGCGTTGTCACACCTGAGGACTAAGATGGAATGCCTCGTTTCCAGTGAAAAAAGGTCTCCGGATCTCTACACTCACCTTACGAAACACAGCACTATTAAGCTACTATTTTACGCCGGCATTCTGTGAGAGCATGGTCCTACCCGGTTGAGCCGACTCATTCGTGCTACAACCATAATATAACTGCAGCGTGGCTCTACCACGTATAAACCGTTAATCCAAAAGCTTCTAAGCCCTAGAACATTATAGTGATTTATTAAATTACGTATCTCACCTAGTGCATCCACGGACATCACTTTTCCAATCTTCAGATCTCGGCTTTCTGCTACCACATACCACCCGTTCGGATATGGGGGTGGCAGCTTTGTGCCTAGCTGCCTCGCGTTCTGAGCCCTGGTAATGTTCATGGTTCTGTCCGATCCGCGGGTTATATGGTCAAAGCCAACTTCCGTTAGGTCCTGAAAGGGATGTTATTTTATAAAGAAGGTTAACAAATAGGTTCGCAATCCTAGTAAAAGTGCTGAGTGCTGTGAAACCTAAAACAGTGAACACCTACAGAAAAAAAGCTAACTGTTCCTTATTGCCTTTAGGTACGGAAGTGAATTATCACTATACTGGATGACCTTTTTTACCGTCTTGAAAAAATAGAGTGTAACATGTGAACGGAGTAGAAGCCATATGGGCACTGATATTTTACAAAAAATAAAAGTAAAAATTTTGAATTAAATGAATAAATAAATTAAAATCTATCGAAATTCAAATCATATCCACCCTACTTTACAAACGGTTATAAAACAATAAATTTAGTAGGCATCTTTGACCTTGTCACTTCATAGGGTTACAAACTCAAGGGCAAAGTGCAAAGTAATTTTTTTTAAAAAAATTTCAAACGTTTAATTCAAAATTTTCGTTTTTATTTTTTGTATAATATCAGTGCCATAGGCTTCTACTCCATTCACATGTTACACACTATTTTTATTCGGACGGTAAAAAAGGTCGTCCAGTTTATAAAAATAAATTTCTCACCGTTAGTTTCGCTCGAAAACGGCTCGAGCTATTTAGACGAAATTTTTTGTGTATGTTTTGAATGGATCCGTGGGTGGTTTATATTTACAATTGAACCAGTTAGGCGTTATATACATATTATTTATATTTTAGAATAATATGTATATACTTAATAATATGTATATGCGGAAAGGAGTACTAACACGCACTCGTTTCCGCCTATGAGTGACTCTTCAAATACAAGTGAGCTACCTACTATCATAACCCGGTTCCCAACTACATATAAGACCGCCTATCGTACCGTTTTTATACTTATACCATTTCAAATTCAAATTAAAAATATTTACTATAAGTTAAGTGTTGCATCTGGCGTTAATTAAAAAAATTTATACGTGGTAGAGCCACGCTGTAGCTATATTATGGTTGTAGCACGAATGGGTCGGCTCGTCGAACTGGGGAAGGAACACGCTCTCACAGAATACTAGCATGAAATAGCAGCTTCATGTTGCTGTGTTTCGTATGGTGAGTGTAGAGATCCGAAGTTCCTTTTTTACTGGAAACGAGGATTTCCATTTTGGTCCACAGAGGTGACAACGCATATGCATTTTGATTCGTAATTGACGATAAATGTAGATGTCTATTGGCCACAGCACCCACTTACCACCAAGTGGAGTGCGTGACCATTTGTCACCCTAATTCTATACAAAAAGTTGTATCTTATAACTTAATCACCCTTTTCGAGTATTACAATAATAGCTCTGTCTGCGACTTATATAACTATGATGAATAAAGTTGTTAGTTATACTTAGTTAAATACTTAGTTATAATAAATAGAATGCAGAGTAAAGTGGACTACAGAAGAGAAGAGAAGAATTAAGAAGAACAGAAGAAAAAAGAATATAGAATGTTACAGGTCCAAAATAGGCGACGGTCTTGTCTGTTTATAATCTAACTTATTGGTTAATTTCTAACAACGCGTTTGCGAGCCAAGATAACAAACGTTAAATGTTCAACAACACTAGCCATGATTGTCATCAGAATCTCTTTCAAAAAGTAATCAATTTACTGATAACAGTTTAAAAAATCAGTCAAATCGATTTTGTTGCTCTGGCTCTAAATTACTCCGCGGTTGAGTTTTTTTTAAACCTACTCATGAATGAGACACTATAGATTTTTTTATGAAAGAGGTACTTCATATATTCAAATTATATAAACTCACCTTTACATAAATCGGCGGGCTCAGATAACTTTTGTATAAAATGTACAAAACTGAAACTACTATAACAGATAAAATTAATAATCCGATGTTTTCACAGATAAATTCAAATACTGAACGCAATGCAGACATAGCAAGATTTGAACAAAAAAATAAAATTTCTCTGGGCTCTGGTTTTAAAATGTTACATTGCGCGGGAATTTGTCTTGCTAATGAGTTTTCCTCCGCCATTTTGTCCAGATACGTCACTTTGTGTGTGTCGAGGATGGGATTTGTTGAATTTAACATCATTGATATCTGAAAATAAAAGATTTATATATAAATAATGTTGTATACTATTCGTCACTAGATGACAATGATTTTAGGTGTAGCGCGGTGAAATGATTGCTGCTTCTAGATGATAACACTGTGCCCAGCTTTGGGATGTGTAATGGCTGTAGCTTACTCGTTGCAAAATACACTTTAGGATGGTTAAAATATCGTTATTTATATCAGTTAAGGTAAATAACGAACGAACAGTCACAGACTATTCGTCTTTTTTCTTTTTTTTTTATAGAAAGGAAGGCAAACGAGCATGCGGTTTTGTTGGTCCCTTTACAACACTCAAGAGACGATATGAGGTACTGAATATACTTACACAGCCAAGGTAAGTGGATACTGTGGCCGAAAGACATCTACATCAATCCTCGATTACGAATCAAAATGCAGATGCGTTGTCACCCGTGAGAACTAAGATGGAATGCATCGCTTCCAGTAAAAAGGGTATCCGGTTCTCTACACTCACCATACGAAACACGGCAGCATTGTGCTGCTATTTTATGCTGGTATTCTGTGAGAGCGTGGTCCTTCCCCGGTCGAGCCGACCCATTCGTGCTACAACTATAAAACCAACATAACTCCAGCATGGCTCTACCTTTTATCTTTTTCTACTATAAACCGATTTCCCATATAGATTTGGAGAAAGAAATTCCATCCCTTAGAGAAGCAAAATAGGGTAAGAAGTTTTTAATGGAATCACTTAGACGACATTGAGATTGTAATATTCCCGAGTCTCCTATTTACAGTCAGCCTATTTACGTCTCACTGCTGGGCACAGGCCTCCTCTCATTACTGAGAGGGTTTTAGGGCAAGGAAGTGTCCACCGCGCCGCCCCAATGCGTTAGCGAACTTCATATGTCTTCGAAATGTTTTTTTTTCTTATATCTCAGACATGCAGGTTTCCTCACGATGCTTTCCTTCACCGCCTAGCACGTGGTAAATCAGCATTTAAAGTTACAATTAACAATTTCATTGATGCCGGCGGGGATCGAACCCGGTTTGCTCGCGTATCGTGAAATTTAAAGCGAGCGCTAACCATCTGAGCTACCACGGCTCTTATATGTTTAAAAACGGGTGTAACTCGTTTGAAAAAAATCACTACTGATTAGATATACGATGAAATGCCTTTTTACACTCACCATAAAAATACAACAACACTATGCTGCTATTTTATGAAGGCATTCTGTGCGAGTGTGAGAGTGAGCTCCTTTGGTCAAGACACATATAGATCGATATATCACGCTAGTTTAGCGCATGTCATTTAGGGATTCAAAAGACCAGCCCACCTATTCATATTTTGTAAATAATAATCGAGGAGCAAGCTAGCAAAAAATTGGCCGCATACGTTAACATATTATGATTGTTGTGTCAAACCGACGTACCTACTTTTCAATTATTCATTGTATATATGAATGAATTTTAATATAAACTTAAACAGATCAATAAGCTAACTGCGACGATGTTGGTGTTCGATCTCGTATATTTTTTTTTGAAATTAAAGAGTCAAACGTAGCCTACCTAACTAACTTCAATTGAGTTGATTAAAACTACTTTTACGGATTTTACCGCGTTTATAGGGCAAGCAAAAAGTTCAATTAGAACCCGCGTAAATGAATATATAGCTGACGTGAAGCATCAACGTTTCGGGAAGTCTGCAGTTTGTGATCATATCCTGGACGGCCGCACCCATTACATCAGATTTGATAGACCAAAAATTCCCCCGCGAAAGAGCATCGATTCCTACCAAGGATGATACGTGAGGCTATTGAAATTAAAAAACATCCTAATTTCAATAGAAAAGGAGGCTGGGTACTAAAACCTGTTTGGGACCCTGTAATTAATAAAACTGAAACGAAACCCAAGCATACCACTGCAATACTTGGATTAAGGGTGCTGGAAAGCACCCGAAATCTCTGGGATTAAAAATACAATAAATTGAACGCTATACAATCTGTAAAAGTAATTTTAATCAATGTGTAGTGTTCGCTTAAATATAAGAAATCATTATGTATACTTCAAATGAGGGTAGAATACATTTGCAGTCACCATTAAGGACCACAATTGAATACCTCGCAGCCAATAATTATGCAGGCCGTTTATACTCTTCAATCTGAAAGATATACTTCAGACTGAAAGGCAGTGTACGCATTACTGTTTATAGGAACAAATAGGGTAAAGGATACTCAGGCGGGCTCCTAAGTAAGAAAGAACTTCTAACACCTACCAAGTTTTTTTTTAATAGAATAAGGATGACAAACGAACACACAGTCCACCTGATGGTAAGTGGATGCTGTGGCCCATAGATATCTATATTCGTCCTCGATTAAAGATCAAAACGCAGATGCGTTGTCACCCCTGAGGACTAAGATGTAATGCGTCGCTTCCAGTAAAAAAAGGGTCTCCGGATCTCTACACTCACCATACGAAACACAGTAGATTGTCAACTTAGATTTTGAAAATTTTGAGAGTACCGCAATTTTTCCCATCTATTGGAAAGAAATAGCAAGATTTATGATTTAAATGTTTTTATAAAATAAGGGGACAACCGAACGCACAGTTCTCCCGATGGTAAAAGTGATTGCTGTTGTCCATAGACATTTAAATCTATCCTCGATTTAGAATCAAATGTGTTGTTTTCAGAAAAGAGGGTCTCCGGTTCTCCTATACTCATCATACGAAACACAGGAGCATTAAGCTGCTTTTTTACGCTGGTAGCGTTGGTCTACCCCGGTCGAGCCGACCCATTCGTGCTACAACCATAATATAACTGCAGGGTCGCCCTACCACGTATAAAATATTGTATGGTCTAGAAATAATTGTTCCGGGTCTAGATGTATGGATGTATGTATCCATTTATTTATGTATGGGTCAATTCACTTTTAGAATTTTCGAACACGTGTAGTTTTATTTTTCTATGTTAAGATATTTTTTTATCTGAGCCGTAATAGCTCAGATGTTTAGCGCTCGGTGTAAATTTCACAGTACGCTAGCATACCAAGTTCGATCCCCGCCGACACCAATGAAATTGTAATTGCAATTTTATGCGCCGATTTAGCACGTGCTCGGCGGCGAAGGAAAACATCGCGAGGAAACCTGCATGTCCGAAAAATAAGAAAAAATATATTTCGAAGACATGTGAAGTTCGCCAAAACGCATTGGGGCAGCGAGGCGGGCACATCCTGGTCCTAAAACCCTCTCAGAAACAAGAGAAGGCCTGTGCCCAGCAGTGGGACGTAAATAGGGTGTAACTTTAAGATATTTTTTATTTCATATACATTGCTTCGTAATAAAATTGATTGTTTTCAATATCTATAAAAATTTAAATTAAAAATATCATAAAGACTCTTGGAGGGAAACAAATCAAGAGATGATCAGTAGAGTCTTCTAAATAACAATTAAAAATGAAAATAAAGACTGCGGTTGCCAACCCGCTTGCCAAGCGTGGCAGCTATGGCAAATATCCCCTAATATGAGGCAATCTAAAAAGCAGGCCTATGTTTTGTAGTACACTTTAATAGTCTGTAACAGTAACGGTAACGGTAACGGTAAAGACCTTTGATCAAAATAAATATATATTTTAGAAAATAAATATTCTACGTGGTAGAGCCATGCTGCAGTTATATTAGTAGCATAATTGTAGCACGAATAGATCGGCTCGACCGGCGAAGGACCACGCTCTCACGAAATACCAGCATAAAATAGTAGCTTAATGCTGCCGTGTTTCGTATGGTGAGTGTAGAGAACCGGAGACCCTTTTTACTGGAAACGAGGTATTCCACCTAAGTCCTCACGGATGACAACGCATCTGCATTTTGATTCATAATCGAGGATATATGTAGATGTCTATGGGCCACAGCATCCACTTACCATCAGGTGGACTGTCTGCTCGTTTGTTATCCTATCCTATAAAAAAAAAACAATCTCTTCTCCTTTACTGCCCGAAGAACTGCTGTGGGGCGTATATCATCTAATGTCAGACTATATTATGCAATTTAATTAATGAAGTTAGTGATATTTGTTCACGATTCTCTACATAAGTTTCGATTATTATCTAATCCCCTAATTTTAAATTTTTCGTAGCGAACAAGGGAATATCGCTCGTATTCGACATCTCTCTGCTAGGTGGAGTCAAAGAGTTTAAAAATCACTTTGAGGTGACGCGCGATTCTAGGGATACAAATTATGTTTACTTTTTGATATTGCTGACTGTACCATAACAGCATTTTATTGAAAACAATATGATATCCTCTATTTTTGATGTCCTTTATTTAATCTTATCAAATATCAAAAAAACTGGAGGCGGTAACCCTACATGTAACCTACCTAAAAAAATGCATGCTATGTTCATCTATAAGTGTCCGACGACTAAGTAACTACCTGTAGACGCTATAAGTGGTTGTACATTATACTAAGCAATGAGTTGCAGCGTTGGGTGTTCATCTGCATGTTGATTCGAAATCGAGGATACATGTAGGTGTTAATGGGTCACAGCAACCACTTACTATCAGATGGACTGTGTGCTCGTTTGTCACACCATCCTATAAAAAAACATAAAATCATAAAAAAACATATATATATATATATATATATATATATATATATATATAATGAAACCACAAGTAATACTAGTCCGTAGAAGTGTAGAAAAATTAAATATTAAATTAAAACCCGTAAAATAAAAAAGTGAAATTTTCAAACAAAATAAATATTAAAATAAATTCAGTAAAAGTGAACACTCTGTTTAGACAACGTACCTTGACCCCTTGGAAGAGTGACAACGTTGCACGCGGTGCCACCCGCGTGCAACGTTGTCACTCCGCCGACAAAAGACACCGCTGTCGATATGTCGCAATACCAATAGTTTGCACTGCGTGGCAACGTCGCTTTTTAATGTTCAAGGATTCAAGTTCATT